CTTTGAAGCAAACCCCAGACGTCAAATAATTTTTTTTTTTTTGCAAATAGATCAGTATATCTCTAAATGTTAAGGACATTTAAAAAGTTCAAAATTGCCCTGGCCAGTATGGCTCTGCGGTTAGCGCATCAATCTGCAGACCAAAGAGTTGCGGGTTCAATTCCCAGTCAAGGACACGGAACCTTGGTTGCAGGTTCGATCCCTGGCCCCAGTTGGGGGTCATGTGGGAAACAACCAATCAATGTGTCTCTCTCATATCAATGTTCCTCCCTCCCTCCCTCCTTTCCTTCCACTCTATCTGAAAAAAAAATCAATGGAAAAATATCCTTGGGTAAAGATTAAAAAAAGGTTCATAATCACAATTCCATTTTTTTACGCTTAAAAATTTTTGGCAATAATTCATTAAGATCAAATATCTGGTTTTCATATTTTCAATGATCTCATAAGAATCATATGTTTTGGGGAAAATTTTTAATGCTACAATATCAGAATTACATTTAGAATGAAACAAGCCCATAACACCATAAAGCAACAGTAGTAGAGCAGGAAAGTAGAACTGATCAGTAAAATAATTCCAGATGATATGCAGATTTACATGGTTTCAAAAGAAAGAAGAGAAAATGGTTAGAAATTTTCTGGACACTACTCTGTAAATAAAACATCTAGTAGAGGAAAAGTGTTGGCTCTGTTTTCTCTCAAAGCTGCCAGTGTTCTCAGGATAGTTCATTTTTGTATGAGGAAAAATATCTATTATTTATAGGTCTGAAGACCATAATATAGGCATATTTTAAACAAATAAATAAATAGATGTCATATAAAGAATATGATAAAATATCAAAGAATTTGAAAACAACCACAAAACAGCAAAAAAAACTTCAGGAAGAATATATGTACTACCATGTTCATAGCAGCACTATTTACAATAGCTAAGATCTGGAAACAGCCCAAGTGTCCATCATTAGACGAATGGGTAAAAAAGTTGTGGTACATATACACAATGGAGTACTATGCAGCTGTAAGAAAGAAAGATCTCTTATCCTTTGAGACGACATGGAGGGACCTGGAAAGTATTATCCGAAGCAAAACAAGCCTAGCAGAGAAAGACAAATATCACATGATCTCACTTATTTGTGGGATATAATGAACATAACAGTCTGAGGAATAGGGTAGACCCAGATATGTGGAAGTAGGGTACAGACTGACAACCCTCAGAAGAAGGGGCTGGGGGGAGAGGGAAGAGATAAACCACAGAACTTATATGCATGTATGTATAACCGATGGACATGGACAACAAAGCTGGGGACGGGGTGGGAGGATGGGGAGGAGGGTATCAATGGGGAAGTAAAGGAGATACATCTGTAACAAAAATAAATTAAAAAAAAAAAAGTAAAACAAAGAAACAAAAACAAAAAAACAATTTATATTTACTTGAGAAGAGAAAGTATTTACAACTAAGAGCATTCCATAAAGAACAGAAATTTGATTAGTACTCTAAACTCCAGCAATTCATGGATTAAATCATGTTTATCAAGCAAGACTAATTTAGAGACTCTGGAGGGCTGGTGCTAACCTTTCAAGCTTATCATTTCTATTCCTCTCTGCTGCACTCTGTTCCCTACAGTGTGTCACAGACAAGCTCTGGCAGCGAGGCAATGTCTGACCAGCTGAGCTATTATCAGGCTCAACAAATATCACAGCGAAGCGTAAACTGCCCTACCAAGGCCAGCAGTTAGAGCCACCTAGATGACTGCACTGGGAAGAGAATGGTGCACTCATCAACTGGGTGACAAACGCTGGACACCTGCCTCTTAAGAGATAATCCTTCCCAAGAGATAATACAACAGGCACCCTCAATTCAGGATCAGGCTTTTTTTCAAATTATAAAATCCAAGAGAGTCAGGGCCAAGACAGTGGTGTCAACCGATTACTCAGTACTATCCTCTCTCAATTAAATTCAACTGAGTAGGTATTTATTTATAAGACATCTAATGTATGTTCACTCAATCCTAAATACTCTGGGAAATAACATCAACAATAATCTATTACTTTCACATATACCATCTCATTTTAAATTCACAGGAATTCTGTGGTTTAGGTAGGGCTGATGATAATCTGTGTTTTATGTAAGAATTTAAGGCTGAAGAAAGTTGAGAGACCAGTACAAGGTCACACAACTAATAAACAGTGGAGATGGTTTTAAAATGTACATCTCCTGATTATAAATTATCAGTAAGGATGTATAGCCCCACCCCAAAACACATGACTTTTGTTTCTGAATGGGCCAACATTTCTTGAAAGAGACAAATGAGAAACTATGAAAATGTTTTAAAAAATCAGTTTATATAAGAATAAGAGTGAGAAAGCACTTTAAAAAACATTTTTTTTTTCTTTATTGATTTTTAGAGAGGAAGGGAGAAGGAGAAAGAGAGAAACATCAATGAGAAAGTACATCGATTGGCTGCCTCCTGCACATTATTTATATGCATATTCATACTTTTAGAGTCTTAAAAGCATTATCTTAAACAAGTCAAAATCTGTTTGTTAATGGCTTTATTTCATACTGTTTTCTGGTACATTTCCAATTCCTGTAGATTTTCCCCCTACGTTTTAAGTTAAACTTTAACCTATCTTCAAATCATCACAAATATAAGTTTGATAGAATATGAATAAATAAGATTTTTCTATACTGAATCTGTAGAGATATTTTAACATCAAAAATGCTATCAGCTCACAGGTGAGCTTTGCATGAGTACATAGATTTACCAACTTTAAAAGTGCTTTCTCACCCAGCCGGTGTGGCTCAGTGGTTGAGTGTCGACCTGTGCACCAAGAGGTCACTGGTTCGATTGATTCCCAGTCAGGGCACATGCCAAGGTTGTGGGCCCAATCCCCAGTGGGGGGCATGGTCTCTCAACTTTCTTCAGCCTTAAATTCTTACATAAAACACAGATTATCATCAACCCTACCTAAACCACAGAATTTCTGTGAATAATGTGCCAATTAGGAAACTCTTCTGTATGTGCTTAAAAGTATGAATATTTAGTTTGTTGGCATATGTTTTACAAATAATGTTCTATTCTTATATCAGATAACTTATCTCTAGTTGGTGAAACTTAAATATTTATCTTTAGACTTATACTTACTATCAATAGTATTATTTTCAAAATGTATTTATTTTATGTGATTTTTTTTTTTTTTGCCAGGGGTGATTTTTATTTTTCTGCAGAATGCATACCCGTAACTTTCCGAGACATAAAAAAAGGAACTCTAATTTACTGAATAGAAATCTTTTTGATTGTTGAGAGAAGGCTTTGGTGGAATGAATCTTGTTCCTTTAAGCAGGGATACCTGTACAGAGAACAGCCTCTCACATACAAGATGATTTAGGGTGATAGGCCCATTTCAGTTGACTGGGGACCAAGCCAGCCTGGTTCCCACTGGGGTAAGGACCGTGTACATCTCTCTCTCTTAGGTGTGAAGTTACATTTTATTCCATGTATAAGAAAGGAGGCCATCTTATCCATCTAGTGCTCAGAAGAGCCTCATAAATAAAGGGTCTCAAAAGTTTCTCCTCCCTCCAAGCTTTACTGAGATATAATTGACATATGACACTGTATGTAAGTTTAAGATGTACAGCATAATGACCTGACATTAAAAGTTTCTTAAATAAGTTACTTACCTTTCAAAGTAAATTTTTCTCTTAAAAAACAAAAACAAGACATAAAACAACCCTTGCCTCCAAATTTCAGCAAACCCCAGAAGTACTTTTTATGGGAATGAAGAAATGGGTTCCAACATTTCCAGGAGGACCATCATTTACTCACATCACCAAGTAAATGCCTTTTTATGACAATGCCTCCAAAGAACATTATACACAGTCACAGAGACAAATGGAACTGAAACAGGAATAATGAGACTGCAAGAACAAGATGTTTGTCACTTAGTTTTAAAGTAGTGCAGCATTATTAAACTTCACTATCTGGAGTGGTCTGAATGAATTAAAAATATTTTATAAGGATCTTGTACAATTGTATTTTTTCTTTTGGGTGTTAAAAAGCATTAATTCGTTATATATTCTAAATATATGACAATTTAATTTTTATATTTCTTTATTGAAAACTTTTATTACTGAAAAATAACAAACATAAAACTTGAAAAGATAATTTCTTCATGTTTTATAAACCAGCAGGAGCCTGAGAGAGACCCTGATCCCACTTGTCATTTCTCTTGTCTAAAAATTCACTTATTTAGTGAATAGTATTTATTCCTAAACATGGAAGATGGAATCTTATGAAATAGTTAAGACTACCAAATAAATACTTTAAAAAATTTCTCACTGAGAACATCAACGGAAACTCTATAGCTACCTTTGGATTTTGTATTTTCCAAAATAAATCCAATTATGTAAAAAATTGACAGTTGTTTTGACTTTTAGGAAGTAAGAGTTTTCAGCATGAAGCACACCAGCAATCCAAAAAGGACTGGCCACAGGCTCTGTTTAGTTTTCCTGCGGAGTTCAATTCGCCTCTCCTTGTTTACTTTTTGAGTATATACTAGTTCAAAACCATTCCCCCTTTTTGTTCTAATAGCTTGTAAGGATGCACATTCATTAAGATGCCAAAAAGGTCACGTCTGTGCGGTGCTATCTGGTTATTATCGAATTTAAATAGCCCATATTTCTCAAATTAACATTTTCTGGTAGCTATCTACTTAAAAATTAAACTATTCAATTAAAACTTTTATTATTATTTGTCAACAGAATGTGATACATTCTCCAAATGCACTTCTTAATCTGAAATGATTTTCCACTAATTTTTATCACACACTGTTTTTTCTTTCTTGGCAAATAACAGGTCTTAAAAAGACTAATGACAAGACCCAATTTACAAAGAAAGCATTTACATACTATGGAAATTTAAAATAAAAATAACAGTCATAATAGCAGTGGTGGTGATGGTGGTAGTAAAAGAGATCCAATTCAAGATCAGATAAAGTCTCACCAGGGTTGCAATCGGTAAGAAGTGAGCAGATGGAGAGGAGAACTTTAGAAATGGTTAGGGCTGGACTCCAGTTGTCCTTTAGGATGTCCAGACAGATCACGCCTTGGCTGTTAATATTACAGTGATAGATTCTTGTTCGGAAGGTAACCTAGAAGAAAATGTAAAGTTGTTATATAAATATACTTTTTATTAGACAAAATAATCTAAGGGTTATTCATTCAACCATATATTTAATTTTTCCTTAGGCACATGAAAAGAATCAATGAACAAAATCATTATTTTAGAACTCATCATTCTGGGCACACAGAACAAAACTCCAACAGCAAAATCAGGACATTGTGCTTTTGATGAAGTGTCCTACCATTTAACTGATGTTCTGGGGACTGAATTTACTCTTGGTGCAATTGTAGGAATGTTCTCAAGAGGGAAACTAACTTTGACCTCTAAAAAAATTTCAAAGGAAATACATAATTTCAAATAAAACTTTTGTTAGATTCTAGTTGTTTTAAGAGTTTTTGTACATTTATAAAATTCAAAAAAGCATGAGAATACTCTATAAAGGAAATAAATATTCTCTGTCACAATTTAAAGACATATATTGGGGCATGTATGTTAATAATATACCTAGCTTATAGAAAAACTATATTAATTATAACTTACCTTTCCCTCCTTAAATTATCTATTTTGAATGTAGTATTAGTGCAGCTCACCTCTTCCCTATGATAGCTAGATCACTACTGTACTTTGCTTAAGATATAGTTTGGAAACATGTGCATAACATTTTTAAAGAACTTCAACTGAAAAGTCCAAATCAGTTCTATAACTGATAAAACTGTTTTACAAAAGTCTTGTGTAATTAACAATAAGTTTTTTAATGCCATTCATTAATATCATCTTTATAAATGCTCTCAAATTTAGAAGTTAAAATGTAAAGGAATCTTGGTGTTCTAAACACCAGTTTTCTTATACCCAAAGTTCGAAATGGCTCTGAACCAAGAAATACACACATGGCCGATCTTTGTAGGTGTTGCCATCCCCCCCCAGAGCATCCAGCATCTACTCAAACATCAGAATTTACTTAATTCATCTGATGTTAAGTCTCAGAACGTACAGACCCAGTTTTCCACAACTGCCGAATAACATGGACCACTTAGCCTCAGGCTAGAGTACCCCTATTAAGAACTGTCCTTCATGCCAGAGCAGATAACCTCAGTATCCTCCTTACACACACATCCCAAACACTGCGAAATGTTTAAGAAAATACAACTAACAGTCTTTAAAATGCACAGGTGAATTTGCAAGGGCAACCCCCAGAGGTCGGAACTGAAAACAGAAGTTACAGTAAGCACGGGAGCTGACAGTGCAGTTGCCAAGGGTGAGGCTTGGGGAAGAGGAAGGGAATGAAGGGAATGAAGGACAGCAGTCCGTCTTCAAGATGGAGGCTTGGCTTCTGTGCCCTTGTGGAGAAATAAGATAAAACCTTAGATCTGCAAGGGGATTAAATTGAGAGCCCTTACATTAAATGTGGACACTTGAACAGCTTTCAGTAAATTGATGGGTTTGAAAAGATAATGCCTTATGTAGAAATAGCAAATTCACTGACAGAGAAATCCTGGGCTCTGTCTGGCCTGGGGAAGAAAACTATTTCCCCTAAGAATTCTAAATCCTGGGCACATCTTAGTCTTTACTGACAAAAACAAAAAACAAAAAGAAAAAGAAAAAAGAAACAACAGCTTAAATGACTATATTACTATAAGATCAAATACATGTTTTAAGGCAGAAGCATTTAAGGCAAAAATGAGTCAAGAAAATCACTGCATTACGGTGAAATGAACAATTCACCAGGGAAATAAAACAATTCTGAATCTGGTATTGCTAACAACATAGCCAAAAATATAAAAGGGAAAATTTGGCAGAATTATAAAGAGAAAATGATATACAAAGAGGGACATTTGCACCACAGTAGTTAACATGTTAGTCAGATCAAAATATAGTAAGGATATGAAAATATGAACAACTAAATTAATAAAATCTAGGTATTAAATGAAGACAAAATTCTACACTCAACATTAGAGAATACATATTCTTTTCTAAGCATGTAAGAAACATAAAAATTGGTCACATGCTAAGCCACAATGGAAGCTTAACATATTTCAAATAATTATCAAGACCACAAAGATCATATATTTAGAAACTGAAAAAAACACATTTTCAAATAACTCTTGGATTAAATGAAAATAAACAGCTACATTTGTAACTGAATAACAATGAAAATGCTGGGTTGCTATCACCAAAATTTGTGATTTCAATAAAAGCTGTAAAAGAAAATTCTATAGTTTCGAAAGCATATATTAGAAAGGAAGAAAGACATTTAATGAGTTAAGTGTCCAACCAAGGAAGAAAAAATAGAGCAGTGAGTTTCAACCATTGTGCCACAAGAATTTTTAAAGCCTGCAACACCTATTTGGTCAGAGGCACTGACCTCTTTTCCCATAGGCTGTCAAATAAAAAATGCCAACATTCAACACAACAATAGCCACCCAGTGTGAATGAATCAAAATTAAATCTATTTTTTTGTCAGACTGGCAAAAAATACTTTTTTGGTGTGCCTCAGAATTATAGTACCTAGTTTGTGATGAAAAAGGCTGACCGCTGCTGGAATGGAGCAGATTCCATGAAAGCAGAAAGCATCAAGATGTGAGCAGGACTCCTTCCGGTCAAGATGGCAGGTAGGTAAACGCGGTATCGCGTCCTCCCACAATCACATCAAAGTTACAACTAAACTACAGAACAACCATCATTCAGAACTACCTGAAATCAAACTGAATGGAGGAAGTCCTACACTACAAAATTAAAGAAGAGGCCACATCCAGACTGGTAGGAGGGGCGGAGGGGCCGAGGGGCCGAGGCACAAATGGGCTGGTCCCACATCCACATGTGGCTCATAAAAACCAGGAGGGATACCTGGGCTGTGCAAGTTCTCACTGAGGCTGGGAAGGTCCTCCCTGAGGAGCGAGGGGTCCCCTTCCCACACAAGGCACCCAGCTCAGGTTCCAGTGCCAGGAAGAGAATCCCCATCACTTCTGCCTGTAAAACCAGCGGGAACTGAGGCTCAGGGAGGCTGAGGCTGCTGGAGTCCAGGCAGTTGCTCTTAAAGGGCCCGCACATGGACTTACTCAGATTTGCACCCTCCAGGCCAGTGGTTCTCAACCTTCCGAATGCTGTGACCCTTTAATACAGTTCCTCATGTTGTGGTGACTCCCAGCCATAAAGTTATTTTTGTTGCTACTTCATAACTGTAATTTTGCTACAGTTAGGAATTGCCATCCGAAATATGTGTTTTCCTATGGTCTTAGGCGACTCCTGTGAAAGGGTCATTCGATCCTCAAAGGGGTCGCGACCCACAGGTTGAGAACAGCTGCTCCAGGCTCCAGAGTGGGGGAGGCAGCTAGAAAGGCACCAGAAACACAGGGGGGAAGAACTGAGTTGGGCATCGTGGCGAGAGCTGGAGGGGCAGCTTTTTCCCCGGCAGATGTGCTGGCAGAGGCCCTTGTTCCTCTGGTGAGCCCTCCTCCCACGAGGCCGGCAGACGGGCACCATATCTGGCACTCCAACAACCTGGCTCACACTGTGTGCCCCGCCCTGGTGATTCCCTGAGACCCTGCCCAACCCAGCCTTTGGGCCCACCCAAGCTGTTTCCAGTGGCTTTACCATAGGATTGGCCTGTCTTGGCTCCTGCTTCAGATTTTCCTAAATTCTCTCAAACAAACAGCATCTGCCTCAGTGAGCCCCATACCTCTAGCTAACTGGCCCCAGGCCTGGCACTAGAAGCGGTCAGCCTTGGTTCACAGCTTGGTTTTGCCTGGGCACCTCCAAGCCCAGCACAAGCAGCAGCCATTGGCAGATTGCCTGGTATCCCTGGGTAGAACACAGGCAGTGGCTGACCTTGCTCCAGAGCCAGCATACCCAGTGGACAGCTTCAGACTATACTGAAGCACCACCACCCAACCCTCCACAAGCAACACACTCAAGGGTGGACTCAGTGGGTACCAGAGCCCTGATGAAGTAGGTCTTGCTCTGTGTGGTGGGCCTGTGCACAGCTGATCCTCCAAGGTAGTCAGAGGTCAGTGGTGAGTGGGCAAAGCCAGTCCTTGCAGCAGGTCCCGTTGACATGTCAAAAGCAATAAAACTTAATTATAACAGAAGTGTGTACAGTCCACAGGAGGGGTGCACCTGGTGGGCCCAGCTGGGGTGACCAGGGAGGCTGTGCCCCTGGACCCTACAGAATACCTATTACAATAGGCCACACTAGGAAGCCTAGGAGACATAGCAACTCTACCTAATACACAGAAACAAACACAGGGAAGCAGCCAAAATGAGGAGACAAAGAAACATGTCCCAAATGAGAGAAAAGAACAAACCTCCAGGAAAAGAACTAAACAAAATGGAAATAAGCAATCAATCAGATGCAGAGTTCAAAATATTGATTATAATGCTCAAGAAACTTCGTGAGAACTTCAAGGAAGTTAGTGAGACCTTCCAGGAACTTAAGGAGACCTTCAAGGAACTTAGTGAGAACATCAACAACATGAAAAAGGACCAGTCAGAAATGAAGGATGCACTAAATGAAATAAAGAATAATTTACAGGGAATCAATAGTAGAGTAGGTAAAGCCAAGAAGCAAACCATTGATTTAGAATATAAGGGAGCAAAAAAGACCCAATCAGAACAGCAAAAAGAAAAAAGAATCCAAAAACATAAGGATAGTGTAAGGAGTCTCTGGGACAACTTCAAGCACCATGGGGGTACTGAAAGAAGACAGAGAGCAAGAAATTGAAAATCTATTCAAAAAAAATAATAATACAAAACTTCCCTAACTTGGTGAAGAAAACAGACATACAAATCAGGAAGTACAGACAGTCCCAAAGAAGATGAACCCAAAGAGGTCCATACCAAGACACATCATCATCAAAATGCCACGGGTTAAAGACAAAGAATCTTAAAAGCAGCAAGAGAAAAGCAGTTTGTTACCTACAAAGGAGCTCCCACTACTGTCAGCTGATTTTTCAAAAGAAACTTTGCAGGCCAGAAAGGAGTGGCAAGAGATATTCAAGGTGATGAAAAGCAATGACCTACAACCAAGATTAC